ACCATCAAGCATCAGCGCTGGGGTAGACGACACCCAGTCTTGTAGCATCACTTTGCACTTTGAAGGTCCAAAGCCCATGCCGAAAGGAGATACAGAACTTGCTAGTCTGTCAAGAGCGCATTGCGCATCCTCCATAGATTCGAACGGGCATACGATGTCATCAGCGTACTCTAAATTGCACAGCTTTTCTCCAGCTGCCCATCCAATACCTACGTTCTGGAGACCAGTAAGTGCGTTCTCTTGAACTTCGTCTACGACGAAATTGAACAGGAATGGCGAAATAGGGCACCCTTGACGGACACCGCTCCTGGTTTTGAACGACTTACTNACCAGAAGTATGCAGATACAACGACCGCAATAGGTTAACATACTTCCGCGGCATTCCTTTGCGAAGCAGCGACCCCAGAAGAGCTTCACAGTCAACTGAATCGAAGGCTCCTTTAAGATCAAGGAACACTGCGATTGTTGGCCGACGATGTGTGTGACGCAGTTCGAGGACTTGACATTCCACACCGTAACAACTGACTTACTGGTTGAGCACATTCACATACAGTCGACTGTACATTCCTTTACCCGGACCACCAGCAGAGAACGAACCTCCACCACCGAGGAGTGAGTGTAATAGACAAGCTGCGACAAACTGTGGATCTTGATAACCGCACGACTCCAGTCCGATTACCGCATGAGCGAATTCGGGCATCGGGGCATGATAACGTTCCAGATCACGTTCAACCTGTGAAGTGAATGTACAAGACATACATGAACAAAAAAAGTTGCTTTTATCATAAAATAGCAAGTAGAAGAACATTATGAGCCATAGGAATGATGAATCTTATAAGACCAATTAAAAATGTTTGATTTTTGGCGACAACGAGGTGGTCTGCCATTAAAGCAAGCTTGGATTAAGACCCGCCGGGGGGGGGGAGTACAATAGCTACTTGGTACCCCATCCCAAAACAATATTGGTATCCGGAACGCCATATTTTCTTACCTTCAAGTATCCGCCGGTGTATTGTGCAATCGAATTATCTGGCTCGGGGACACTGAGTGCGGCTGGCTCGCGACAAACGTTCGGTTTGCATGGGCTGAAAGCTTTCTCGACCGATTTCACAAATGCCTCGTGATCCACTCCGACACCGGCAATGACCATCCGCTCCGGTCTGTTGGCAGATTGGATATAGATGGCTCGCGCAAATTAATGAGTAATTACAGATTATTTGGAAAAATAAAAATTAACTACATACGAAATCGTGCTCTTTGATAGGAGCTAACTGTGTACCTTATTTGTGGGAATTTGTACTGGGGAGGGGATCTGACTAAATGCTATCTGTCATTGGAACAACAGTTTGCTGACTTTCAATTAATTAGCTCTTACCACTGTAATCATTGCTTATGGATGACGAAATCTAATCGGGTGTACAAGGCTGACGATCGAGTCTGAAGAAAAACCGGATTGATAACGACCCCGAAAGAGTGAACAGAACAGAGAAACGTTAAGCGAAGACGTCAAATCACGTGCTTGAAATAGTTGCCTTAAAGGTACTGTTAATTACTGATAGTAATTGCATGTTTCTCCCTCCATTTTCACTGGACTACTCATGAGTACGTGCATATTTCCCGTACCGTTAGAATTCCGTAATTGCATCATAGATTGCCCACTGGCTTGAAATTTATGTATAGATAGTATATTTGGCGGACCTTTAATACTACAACTGCATTCGTAGATTGGTCTAACTCAAGATCATGGGCAGAATACTGCAATCTGATTGGTTCACTCGCTCCCCGGATTGACCACCTGTCTTCCCAAGCTCTTTCTGTGTTGAAATGAGGCCGACCTCAGCAGTGCATCTTGTCGAGCTCTGCGTTCCACAAATTGTTTGCCTTTTTTATGCTGGGTAAGCTTGCTTCTTGTGCTGCGCGCAAAGTTGGATTTCTATTTCGCGCCAGACGTTTCTTCACCCCAGCTCATCTTCTATTGTGCAGAGCTCAAATCCGCCCTGCTCATGAATACTGTAGTCACGTGTGTGGGGTGGGGTTTCGTCCTCTTCCCTTCTCCTTCTTGATTGTGTTCAACGAAAGGCCATCTGGCTAATCGATAATCCTTCCCTAACATCCGGTCTGCAGTAGCTAGCCCATCGTCGGGCAGTTGCTTCATTGTCCCTGTTCCACCGCTACTACTTTGGTTTTTGTTCTTCGGAACTGGCTTCGGCAGTTTCTCTTTCTGCAACCTTTAGCCGCCCATCCCGTACACAGGCATCCAGTTAGCTTTATCAGCTTTCTGTTCCTAAATGTCGGACCTCTCTGCTCCTCCGAACCACCAAACTGTGGAACACCCTCCCACTTGCTGTTTTTCCCCCAATTTACAATCTTACACTTTTGAAAAGCAGAATCAATGACTTGGATATTACGTGAATGCTCCTCAACTCTCGTAGGTTATACTATTTGTCCATGGGGATTTCCCCTTTTACTGCAATCCACATAGTGTAATAAAAAAATGTAATTTGTCGATGGTTCTTACACAACAATACTTATTCTGAAAACGAGTAACCCTTTTTACCAAACAGATCGATTGCGTTCTGTTTCGTTCAGTTCTGTGGGCTGGGCCAGGAATGGGCGAGCTACACTTAAGGTGTAACTGGTTTTGGTTGCTNNNNTTGCTAGGCCAGTGATGACAACTAGCTCATTCACCCATGTTCACCTCAAGAACTCCAACCTGTCACTGAACAAATATTATTATTCGTATAGACCCATTGATTCTCGTACATCGCTCGGATTGCCCAAAACTCGTCCCTGGTCGTAGTGACTGTGGTCAGCTTTGATTATTATCAATGTTAGAGCAACTACGAGCAAATGTACTTTAGCTGTAGTAGGCACGACATAGTGCGTCACCCTTCAAGCATATCGAGTGGCGTCCAGTTTGGT